CACCCTCACACACATCCCCACACACACATCCCACACACACACATTCCACACACCTTCACACACATCCCACACACCCTCACACACATCCCACACACCCTCATGCACATCCCACACACACACACATCACACACATCACACACACACACATCACGCACACTCACACACACACATCCCACACACTCACATACATCCACACACACACACATCCCATACACACAAATTCCCAGAATCAATATCCCCACATACATGCAGGTCACACACTCTTTCTTACATAGGATTCATAGATGCAGCAGACTCGCAGGCACTCACTCTTACACACGACACAGTTGCACACTTGCATTCCCCCCTGCACACACACGCACTGCAATCCCCTTGCGTCTCCACAGTGTCGAGGGCTGGTTAAACACTGAGGTGGCTCTTTGTGGCTGGGCAGGACTCTTCATGGGAGGGAAAGTCACACAGCTGGCAGGTTACTGGCTTAGGGACACACACAGGCCCAGTGAGCTGATCCTTATAGAAATTCAACAACTGTAGCCAAACATGGAGAACGAGGTCATGTCATCTCTCAGCTTCAACAATTCCTTTCCTCCTGTGTTTTCAGAGGGGGCTCCTGCCTGAGGCTACCGCAGTGGGTGCTCACTGCTCTCAGCGCTCCCAGGTTCAGGCTCTACCCAGTGCAGGCTCCTTGGCTGCCCCTGGACTTGTGTTGTCCGGGGTGATGGGCGCTAGCCTGCAGGGGCTACTGTGCATGGGGAACCGGGCCCCCTCCACTCAGCGTGCAGCTCCGTGTGAAACGCACACGGGATTTTCCAGATGCAGTACTCAAAAGCAGGTGAAACACCTCAGGAATCACTTAAAATATTGATCACAGGTTGAAATGATTATATTTAACCTAACACCTTAGGTTAAATAAAATACATTGTTGAAATTTCTCCTTCGTTTTGCTTTTTGAAACTGTAGCTCCTGGGAACTTTGCGATTACCTACGTGGCTATTTGTGCATTATCCTCCTGCTGGGCAGCACGAGACCTCAGGGATCTTCAGAAACGACAAAGGAAAAGCAAAAATGGTGGAGAAGGCTGAGCACGTGGTGGAGGGACGCCCGCACAGAGCCGCCGGTTCTGAAGTCGCCGTTGTAACACAGTCTGTCCTCAAAGCTTCTTTTCTTTCATGAGAACGCATGGCCGGTGGGGGGAGGGTGGGGTAGGGACATTACACTTTGTATTTTACTTCTCCATTCATTTTCTTTTCATTTTAGCTTTAGTTCCATCTAATGACTGTATTGTGATCTCAGCCAGCAATCTTGCGTGAACTCTCCGGTAACTTCTGAATAATCTTGCTCCAAGTGTTGGATAATGACAAGACATGTGTGACTAGGGTGACTGTGGAATGTCTGCGCAGCTCGAGAGCCCGCTTTCCTGTTATTTTTAAATCTCGGGTCAGCATTTTGGTACTTTTTTGCTTTAATTTCCCCACACGCGCGTTTCACTGCCACCACCTACCATCACCACAACCCGAAACACAGAAAACAAACAGAAAGCTTGGGGAGGAATTTACATCTGGGAAAATGCTTCTATTCATCAAGAGTGGGATTCCCTTTGATTCCCACAATTGACTCACAGCTTCAAACATCCGTGGAGTCATACCTTGGTCATAGAAGTTGTAAGAAACCATATTTGCCAACTTTTTCTTTTAAAGAAGATATTTAAAAATATTTTACATGTTAGCCACAGATTTCTAGAAGTGAAGTTATAAAAATTAGAAATTATATTTTGCCTGTTGATAATAGCAAGTGAAAAGAGATTGCTCCAGGAATGTTGTTTTCAATAAATTTAGTGTAATGGCAACACAAAAATTTTGCCTACAGGCTGCATAGACACGCATTATACTTTTACATATTTATCTTGAGGGTTGCATAATTAATTTAAAAAATGCAATAAGAATGTGAGGTCAAGTGTACTTTGCCAATAATGGAAGCATCTCATAGAGAATTTTGAATAAAATCAAGATTTTTTTTATCATAAAAGGAACTGTCCAGTTGTTCACTTACTTTTCTACTTTTGGCTAAATTAAATTTAACTAAAGGAAAAAGAAAATGTTGTGAAATACCAAGGATAAGCAAGGCTTTGTGGGTAACCTAATCGAAAGGGTTAATTTTGGTATTAACTCTTTGAGGAATATCACTCTTGTTATTTAAGTAAGCAACTAATAGAACTATTTTATTCTGATATCAAACTACTTGATTAAAAAAAAACTGCCAAAGGAAAAACTAAAAACTTAGCATACTCCTGTTAAAGAGCCATCAACATCCCATTGGAAACTCCAGCACTCAGACTTTGGATGTTCAGGATGGTCCATTCATTTAGGATATGTATTACACTGCCTCATTTGTATTGTCACCTTATAAAGCCAGAGAGACTCTCATTTGCTTTCTGTTTTTCTTCTTTCCCCTAAGGACTACAATGGTTATATACTTTCAAATATTCACAGACAAGATATTCTGGATAAATAATCTAAGATTAACTAAATTAGGTCAACGTTCATACAGGGCCAGTGTGATATGTCTCTTGTGCTGAAATTGTCTGGTGTCAGCTACATTGATTGAAAAAGCACTACAGACCCAAAGGAAAAAAAGACACAACTCTTATTACATGATGTCTCAAAAGCAGATAAGAAAGCAACGAAGTCTTCTGGTAAATGAGGGACCTTATCTAGATTTTAATATGGCAGGAGGCAAATTATAAATGTTTCTGCAAGTTAGACAACTTGCATG